AGATTTAACTATTTTAACTGTATATGTGTTTAAATAGCTTGTCATGAACATATTGTTTTGTTTCATGACAAGTTTTGAGTTAAGTATTTATTCTATCTCAAAACTTGTATTGCACTATTCTATGCAATATTCTATTAAAAACTACTATTGGACACCATAAACACTACCAGTACCGTTAATACAAATGTTACACGAGTAAATTATTTTTCGGAGAATAATTACTCTTTATTTCGATTAATTTAAAAAAAAAGTGTCGTGTAAGGGTCGCGCCTCGGCGCAGCGGGGAATACATACATTGTGACAGCATTGATAGTAAGACAGCTTTCCAATTACGAGAGTCCTCTCGTAATTGTGTAAAACACCCAAGTGCTGCGAGCATTAATTAGTAAGATCCCCGGACCCCTTACTTGGCCACGTATAACTCTTTCCGAAGTATGTTTACTTGCAAACCAATTACCAACCACCACCGATGAACGTTGAGCGTGCACGAAAGTTCCCACTCAATTTCATTACGCTTCGCTGTGCGCACTAACAATTAGAGAGGTTTCTGTAATCGCGATTAATTCATTGATTAGGAATATTGCTTACTTTATTTTGCATACCATTATATAAAAGGAAATTTGGATGCGTTTAAGACAGATATTATTGTGGCAATACTAATTTGTCTTTGGTCAACTACAGTTACCTCATTTATAACGCAAACATGCCTGTATTATGTACAAAATATATCAGTAACTACAAAATAGTCTGGTGAAGAGGTTCGTGTTAGAAAGTGACAGAATTCACATACGTATAGTTCCAGATAGATAAAGCTTCTTTAACATTTAACAATTTCTTTGTACGATTATAAAGTTTAATTTTGATAGGTACTCTATGTGGTTCCTATCCAATAAAGCAAAAGCTCTTATTGTTATACTTGAGTTGAAGTAACACTGCACATGACTAATGACTTAATTTTAGAATGATCAGAAAAAAATCTAATGTATTTGATTTTACCAGAAGGCAATCGTAACTACTTTTATTTTGGGATAATAAAGTGTATCTAGTTTTGACACCAAACCATTTACAATATAAAGTAGTTTACTGTTCTAACTAATAAGCTTTTAGCGGTGCCGACTTTAGACATGTGAGACTTGTCATGTGTTGCGTCACTGAGTCTCTGGGAGACGATTAGGCTATATGTGAGTCCAAATCGTCGGTTTCATTCTATAAGTAATTCTGTCAAGTTTGTTTTCCTTTAGTAATGCTTATGTAAATATTAGCCTTCCTCGGGAGCTACGCACGTCAAGCTTATTTACGCATATGTTCAATTAACACTTCAGCACCAGAGCATATCCGAACGCTACATATTAGAATTCATGCCAGTATTTGAGTTATGCAGCTGTTAATATCTTTCGCAGCCATTATCTGAAGTGGTTTGTTTCATAAATAATTGTGACGTAACGGAGTTAATTGAAGTCCTCGTATATTATGGTAGATAGTGCATATTACAGTAATCCAGACATGGTTATAAAATAAGGTTCGGTAAATGTATAGTGTAACCCTAAGTAGAATTTTTTTACATAAATTCATTTTTTTCCTTTAAGTGTTAGTTATAGTTCAAATTGACAGCACGGATGGCGTAGTGGTACCAGCGGTCGCCACGCTACTTCCTACTGCGCTGAGTGTTGCGGGCTCGTTCCACTTTTTGTGATCCACAAATTGTTGTTCTGAGTCTGGGTGTTCTTTGTGTCCGTTTTATGTATGTTTGTATAGTCCCCCGAGACACAGGATAAGTATTCCTAATGCGGAAGTTAAATAAAATAAAAGGATTCTGTCACAAATGCTAAGGTAAGGGATTATGCAATGCTTAATGTTGATTTAACTGCTTAAATTCACAAGATAATTAAAATAATTATAAAAAACATCATACGCTTATAAATATAAACTAGTGGGTCATAATTATTTTGCTTCTGTCTAATTGCACTAGCGAAATACTCGGTTTTATCACTTGAGTTTAGCTTAGTTTTGAAAGCTCATTACAGTGAGATTGGGTAACGGTACAAAAAAGTTTTTCTGTACCCATTGTTTCGGTTTCATTTTAAAATTAACCAATGAGAAAATAAACATTAAACCTTGTGCTTAAAAGGCGTCACAAATATAATATACACAACTTTATTCCATAACTACTTAAAAATTTATCGCACGTAGAAATTGCGATACCAACTTGACAACTGTAATAATTAAATTGTCACTCTTTCATTCAATGTACTATATATAATAAGTATTCTTTATAATCATACCGTAGCATTTTCTTCTACTTAATTTATACCTGATTGTTCTCTTAATTTTTTATTTGTTTTTAAAAGACAACTCCCTCAATAAGAATAAATCCTGTGTCGCGGGGTACTTTACAAACATATATGAAACGCATACAAAGAACATCCAGACTCAGAAGAACAATTCGTGGATCACAGAAAGTGTTGTCCCATATGGGGATCGAACCCACAACACTCAGCGCAGTAGGAAGCGGCAAGATGAACCCTTAAATCACTACCCCATCCTTGCAGTCATTGTACACTGCAACTCCATATATCATCTTTATTCTACCTTTTTATCCACTGGTTGTCGGAAAGTGCGAATAAAGTGCCAATTGTACCAGGGTCAAGATCTTTTGTTTGATTCAATTTACTTTGTAAGAATATTTATATGTGTGCAAATTTATAGGATTTGTCTATTAAAGTGTATAATTAACATCTATCTATATCAGTATGATAAATAATTCTTCACCTTCCTTAAATTAAATATTCAAGAAAAAAAAAACACCGTAACTTATATACACAGAAAAATTGTTGCTCAACTATTAATTGTAAAAATCTTAAGATTTTTACAATTAGATTAGAAGAAGATTAGAAGATTTATGGTACATATGATATGTGTATGAATCACACAAACAAAATTATTTACCTAATTTATAATCACCTGTTTTCATCACTGACTGACTATTTTGAATTCTGCATTATAGAAATCAATTTTTTTTTTTATAGCCGACTTTAGAAACAGGACGCTCTTAATTCGACTAAGTATAGTATTTTTTATATGTTTTTGAGCGATTTCGCCGTCAATTTTGGGCCGATTATCAAAATTCTTTTTATAATAGAAAGGGTATACTCACGAGGTAGCCCCATTGTCCCAAGCCAGGATCTGATGACGAGACCCGAAGAACCTACATAAGCCCGTGCAGCGTATTTAATAATTTTTTTCAAGACAACGAAATTTGCGTTCGGTAGTCATTATCTCATATTGCTGAGCTGGTGATGGAAGGGTCCTCGACTGTCAGAAGTTAAGGTATAATTCTTTCAATAATATAATCACGTATTGACCTTCAGTTGTATTCTTTCAAGATATTTATTAAGGGTGTCTGGTTACAGAGATATTTACAAAAATTTATAAGTAAAACTGAGATTACAAACATTTCCACAAATGAAATATACAATTTTTAGGTTTATAGAGCATTTATTTTCATGTTTGTCACCACGGAATTCCTTAATTTGTGAACCGATTTGAAATTTTCTTCTTTTTTATTTTGAAGGCTGATTGACGTTTAGTCCCTTTCAAATTTGAAGAAAAAAAAACACCATTTATTACAGTTCAAAGTTATCTAGGCACATTGAAGTCGATGATACTTTTTCCAGAGTTGATTATTACTCTTTCACAATCTTAAATACTTTTCAACTTTATTTCTATATTTTAGTCATGTTATGTCAACGACAACATTTTGTAAGTTACCGCCTTAATAAGTTGAAACAAATCCTAAGAAATATCTGTAAAATTTTATTGATCTACCCACTTCATAATTTGTTTTGTCAACGAAATATTAAGTAGATGCAATGAATAATGCACTTCGATTTACTTATATCACTTAATCAACGGTTATCACTCAGCTTTTGTTGTCATGTTTATTATCTGGAAATTGACGATTGCATTGTTAACTTATATTGCTTTTCTAATAAAAAACCGAAGCCATTATGTCGGCTTATCAGCAGACAAACATAAAAAGATTTGTAGTTTTTGTTGTAAAAAAAATTTGAAAGTGTTGCGTCACATAGTTATAGAAGATTGAAATTTAAATAGAACGTATGTTGAAATATAACGATTTTGTTAAGACTGCCTTTCTAGCAACTTACTATAGAGACCGTGGAGGTGGGACTGTACTTACTTTGTGTTACAGCATATTAAAATGAGAATCGTTTGCATTCAAAGCAGAAGAAATTTAATGAGGGTTTACTTTACACAGATCGCTTTTTATTTGAAATTATTATATTGGTTTTATACATATAAGTTTTTATGTATTATCAGAAAATTTACTAGACCCCAGAGCAGTGTTATTGTTCGACAAAGGTGATCCATCAGCTATAAAATAAAAATAGGCGAACTGAACATATATTAAATATTTTAAATATTCTATTCACTGTAAAATTATATTTTTCACTTTGCTTTAAGAGAAGAACAATGAATGTTAATATTTGTAGATATTACCTGAATGTATAATCATAATCAGGCATTAGTTAATGAGAGTACCTATACGTCTGTACTCAACGCAAACCTTTTATAACGAAAAGCAAGCAACTGACCATATTACGTTAAATCTAGTCCATGATATTGCTCATGATTTAACTCATTTTTTGTTCAAAAAAGCTATTACTAGTAACGCCAATCTAAACAAATTTTCATAAGAATTTCTTTTAAGCTGAAGGCACCAATAGTAATGTTGAAATAATCTTTTACCGACTACCGTGCGTCTGCTCTAGAGAGGCTGTCTGGCAAATTGCGCTCCATCCGCCCATCCCCCACCTATTCTGCAAATCCGCACACCCCGCCTCGTCTGCTCTCTATACTGTTTGATTGCGACCTGAAAGATAGGTATATTGTGGCATCTACAATAAATATGAGAGATTTAAGATTACTTCTACGTGTTATTGCAACTAAAAAACAGATAATTTTAATGTCTTTTGTTCGGGATGTATTTAACTCGAAAAGTAGCTGATGGTGAGTCTGAATTTATCTATGATAATGTTGCCATGGGTAACTCGCAATCGAGGGTTTAGTACGCGCCAATGGGCCGTGATCAGTTTTTGCTACGAGTTATAGCGTAGGGAACAATGGCCGACAACGTGCATTCCATCCACACCACCGTTAGCCAGCTCGGCAGTAATCACCGCGTTGATCGCTCCGGCCGCCACGATTTACAATCAATGATGTGATGAACCTAATAAAACTAATATAGCTTCCGCTCAAACTCAATGAATTTTGTACTTTTATAAACCTAGAATAAAAAATCTCTTAAATAAATGAGATGGCGAAACGATTTTGTAATCTTAAAAAAATTAACTACAACAAGAACTTCAACTACAGATATAAAAAAAGTGAAGACATTAAAATTTATTCTGGAACTATAAATCAAATTAACAACTTTCTACGGGCTTAGAATGAAATAAGAGTAGACGGGGCGCAGTTGGCTTCGAGCCAGACCAAACAGGGTAAAAAGCAAGGGCGGCGGCTACGACCGCGCCCCGAAATAGCGAGCAAAGTCAAGGCGTGCGCTTAGACGACGTACTTGCGGATGTTTTGAAGCACATCGCTGCACGAAAAGCGGCTAAGTACGCATTTTTAAAACTGGCTAGACACACCCTGCAACAGCCAACAGGGCGTGCCCACTAGACGAGTTACCGAGCCGACCCAGCGTGGAATATAATTTCGTTGAAACTAATTATATGTGTTTATCGTGATATCATGCGCTTCAATAACCATTGTAATATATTATAACAACCACCTCGTTAAAAACCAACAAAAAAGGCTGGGCTTATTACTTTATATTCTCAATTATAGCAGTTACAGACATCGAGTCTGACAGACATCGTAATACATGTTTTCAATATGCCCCAATAATGTCCTCTGGAGAATATCATATAGGTTACATTGGTAATTATTTATGTCGAACAGTAATTAGGTTTGGTGACAAATATGGTTTAACGAATGTCGACCTAATTTTCTAAAGCATGCTTAAGTATCATTTTAAAATAAAAAGGAGTGGCTTGTGTTATTTTAGCGCAGGCCTATCACGTACACTTATTTTATGGTACAATAGCGGTACGCCGGCCGCTGACTCACTCACGCCCGGACAAGCTTGAGACAGAACAAGGACATCCTCACATACAGCCAGCGCTGAGGCAAATCGAAACATAAACATCGTTACTCCATATCCGTCAGTACTATTCACCATTGTGCCGCAACAAATTGCAGACATAATAGACTTCGCAACACTTAGCTTTGTGCTAGATGACACATAGATATTTTAAGGATAATAACAGCGTTACGAAATACAGACGGTCTTTAATGTGTTCTCTCTGCTGGAAATCATGCCTAATAAGGTTTTAATTGCCCGTTGTTTTAATACTACGGACGCATTACGTAAAATCGTTAAGATTTATGTATATTCTTCTCTTTACACAGATGACTTGAAGGCGGTTACGAAGCGTCTTATCGTCCAGGCGAAGAGGCAGGGCTCCGCCGATAATATCTCCATAATCGTGGTGTTCCTGAAGGACCCGCGTGACATTGCCGCAGACAACTGCCCGCCCATGGATCTTGGGTAAGATTTTCCGTTTTTTAAGCTACCTACATCAAAGTTTAAGTCATCTTTATGTGATGAATTCCAAAAACATCAATATACATTCGGTATTTCTAAAATATTTTGTAGGAATTTCAAGTATCATATCGTCGGGAAAAAATTGTCACGGTCATCTTTAGCTATAATAATAGAACGCAAGAGCTTCGAAAGTGTTTTCATGTCTACATATTCCATAAATATATCTGATGCAAGCTTTTCATTCGAAATACATAAACGCTAGAAATCATTTATTGTAACAGAATGACTGGTAGCTTATGTGTGTTGATAGTATAATAGTATACAATTATTTGAATAAGTATCGGTTACATAGTTTTGTCAAAATCAAGCGAGTATGAGGCTAAGTAAATTTAATAATAAAATATGAAAAGTTACTGACACGCTTCCCAAAAAAAAAAAACTGGTTTAATACTTATTTCGATCGTTGACTAGTTATTTGCACACGTCTGTAACACATTTGACCACAGTTTAACAAAAAGTGTGATAATATCTCGTACCAGATGACCTTGAACCATGTTCACGTTTATTAAGAGGAACCCTAGAAAACGAGAGTTACTTATCACTTTCATTAATCATGTTAGTCTTGCAGACATGTCTCTTAATGTGAATTATTAATTCAATAAACCTGTTACTTTATAGAGGTTCGTGGACTGGAATATGATGACATAATGATTATGTTTCCGAAGTAATCATACTCCAGTTCTTTCAATCTAAAATATACGAATAAAATCTTTATTGTATTATAGGCTGGACAACGCGATGATGAACGTTCCGGCGTTCAACATCGAAACGGAAGCGTGCAAGCGGCAGGTAGATGTCGCGGCTGCTGCCACTGACGCCGAAAGTAGCGAGTGCGCAGAGGCCGAAGCGGACGCCGAAGTCGGTGACAATGGCGTCGATAACTCAGACTCTGATAGTGAGGACCTGGGGCCCGAGACCGCAGTTGATGCAGACGATATTGATGCCGAAGCGAAGAACCACGAGCCACAACCTCCTACACCACCTGCGCATGCTGGTAAGTAGCTTTTGAAATCCCAGATATGCACTTTTAAATGATTAGGCTAAAATTTTAATGTCTTGCCATAAATGTAAGTACGTCTATTACGTCTATAATATTTTATTGATTTTTGTTAATTCGTGAATGATTGAGAACATTTGAATTATCTAATCGGGCACAGACTTAGGTAGTAGGTAAGCTTCAATCAAAGAAATGTAATGTTCTTTTCAAAGTAAAACACCGTGGATCGTTTATGAATCGAGACCTTTGCATTTGACCACAGATTATTTCCGGTTCGATGAATTTCTCACTTTGTACCTACACACTGCACACAACAATTTTAGATAAGATATCAAAATCTTGTGTCAGGCTTAATAATTAACTATCATTAACAATCATTAACCTTATAGTATTTACTGTTATTTACAAGGTAAGTATCTATCTGTACGTAAATAAATATCAGTTATTAATTATTACAGATGTTATTGCATCGGTGAAAGGTTTGATAGGTCTCAATTTCAATCTTAACATAATGTAATTCTGTCAAGCAGGCAACATGTAATGAAGCAGCTGCTTGAACCACATATTTATACAGCTGATAGGAATTTATGATGACCACTTTTGTAGTCATGTTAATAAACGTTGTTCGTATTAGAAACAAAAACTATGAAATCATAATATTTATTATGTATATATGTATTTGTTTCAAGTTTTCCTTCTTTTTGTAGTAATTTGCTCCCTTAGTCGGCTCTTACGACACCCACAGGATGAATAGGGGTGGTGATATTCCAAGTGCATAAAGTGTAAAAAAAAAAAAATATTTATTTTTACAATACATATAGGAGTACTATTAGGCAGTACTTTTTCGTAATTTTTATAATCTATGGATAATTACGAATATAAAATAATTTTCATTTTTTTTTATGTAAATACACCTATTGAAAACAAAAACAAATTTAGTTTCAAAAATTAATTTTAATAAATTTGTAAAAAGGTTTATGATGCGTTTTGTCAATAGTAAAAAGCAAAACACGCTTTTTTTTCAAATTTATTTTCCTTTTATAGTTTGGTTTTCTATAAACAATGTGTTTTTTAGTTTTTTTTTTAAACTATTACATTTTTATATTTTATTACAACTATAGTTTGAACGAATTCTGACCGTTTAAAGTCAGTCAAAATCACGCCGAAGGAGTAGGTTACAAACAAACATACAGGTGAAGCTAATAAAAAGCGTGTCATATTGCCTAGCACATGAACCACATTTCATAAAGAGCAAAAGAAAAAGTAAGAATCTTGTGTGTCACGCTATATTGATTATTACATTCACCCACATCCACGAGTCTGTGTGCATTGCATACTAGCCGAACGTTTCTAGAGTCCAGTGGCAATTGTACGTAGAGATAAAAAATAGATCGAAATAATCGGAGATCTATACATTGTATTGTCAACTTGGAAAACGATCGATTTGAAAAACATCCAATAATTACTTGAACACAAACGTTATTCATCTACTAATTTAAACAAACTTCGACTCTTAAATTTTTCTACTTTAGAGTGTAAAAATATTAAATAATAATATTTATAAATAATTATTTTATACCCTACTAGCTGACCCTGCAAACGTTGTTTTGCTATTTACATTATTTTAATTATTTTTTTTGAATTTCGTAAAATCCGTTCTTAGCTGACCTCTGCTCGGTGAAAAGAATATTCCTACCAAATTTCAAGTCTTTAGCTCTAATGGTTCCAGAGATATCGCGATGAGTGACTATATACGTGGAAATCTCTTATATATATATAGATTTACTTTATACATAGTAAGTTGACTAAACCTACACATTGATTAATGCATGTAGAACCTTTATCTGTCCTCTGTACTGCTTTCATAAGTATAAGCACATACTTTAATATTGGTTAATTAATTACACGTATTAGGCATTCGGTAAGGTAATATGAGGGTCATATCTAGTATTTATTAAAATTATTATAAAATGACACGGTATCCCTGTCTGGGTGCAAGTAGGCGCCCCGCTCCTCATTGCCCGCCCCCCTGCGCCTTCTGTGCCGCTGCCGTCCCGCTCGCTCACTTCGACCGTCTCGCAGTTGCTCATTGAACGTCCGACAGATCTGTGCTATTCCTATAATCGCTACTGTGTATTCGGGCTTTGTCTTTCTTATTACGGATTGAATATCACATCGCCTGAGAAGATAATAATCTGTGAAGTGAAATTACCGTTCACGGTACGTGATCTTTAGCGAGTGTTGTCGATTATTTTCACATACCGAACGATTTGTGAAAGGTTATTTCGGTGTTGATTCATGCGGAGCGGTGTTCTGGAAATAGAACTGTTGGACTAAGACACATCCCTCCAACGTCGTGAAGCGAAGGATTCTTGTAGGTTCACTGTTCTCACCTTCCCGATTTTTTTATAATTTGATGTCGGGCGTGTCTTCATTGGCCGTTCTCGAAATGGCGTCCGCGAATCTTTCGCGAGTTTCAAATCGCGACCGGTAAAATATCGTTAGTAACATGCCGTTCGTAAACAACACCGGCGTTTAAAATTTCTACAGGATATAAACTAATGTTTTTGTTTCTAATTGAACGAATGAGATTTTTTTGACAAGGGTGTGTCACCTGTTGATATCGGGTTGCGAGAGGAGGGGTGAATGTTGCATGCGTGCCAGGTGCTAAGGAAACGAGTAATAACGTGTTTAGTATCTAAAATATAGTGAATGTTTTGTGGTGTGTACAGTGGAAGAGGGCCACGTCGACGGTGCTCTAGTGGATAATGTAGCTGAGAGTGGCGAAGACTCTGAAGACGAGTGGAACTATTACAAGGGCGAGGGCGAACGCGAGGAACATAATCCTAGTGAGGAACACAATCCGAGTGAGGAGCCCGACGAGCCCCCGCGCTCTGAAACCCCCTGCCAGGATAATGTGAGTTTCCTACATTATATCTTGTATATAATTTGAAAAGAATTTTCTAAAACAAGCCGTCGAAATATTTAAATATCTTAAATTCAAAGCTGTGCAATTGCCTTGAGGTAAATTTTAACAAAAACCTTCAACAGTATGACTTGGTTTTCATGAAATGTAATTATTACAAGTTATTAAATATGCTTAGACACTATCATTTAAAGTAATCCACTGACATTGCCTGAATACCTAGTGAGGTACGCTAGCAAAATCATCTGTAAGTGATTACCTCACTGTTAAGTTATATATATGAATATTTTTACTAGATTACTATTTTCAGTTCAAATGCATTGTTATATTTCAGTCGGCTTGGGAAAGCAGCTCAGTAGATATGAACAGTTCTCCACTAAACCCTGATGCGCCTGTGTTCATACCAGGCAGCGTAGCAGGTGCTGATGTCCTGCTTGCAGAGTCACCACGTAAACCTCTGCCTATGGATGACATAGAACTCCCAGATGTAGCACAGTTTGAGACAGAAGCAGTTGTGAGGCCAGCAGAATTATTAGACTTGGATAACTGTGATCAGCTTAATGGCCATCATGTAAGCATTCTAGACTTATTTTAATGTCATTTAGGTGTAACTGTGATATTCTGTATTAGAATAAACTTACATATAACTGATTATTACTTTGACCAAAAATGTAAAAAAAGTTGTAAATACTTTCTATTATTGATAAGAATATATGTTAGTGTATCTTTACTTCTGATGCCAGTGGCAATAATTTATTTAAAAATATGTCGCTGTGTGTCACAATGTGGCAGTAATGGTAATATCTTTACATTTTTACTGACAATTATTAATGGTTTCCACATAGCTTTTTTAGTAGACTATATGGCTGAATAAATTAAAGCAGATTAACAAGGCAAACTAATTGTCACTTGCACTTTACAGACCGAGTTACCCATTAATGAGATATAAATGTATGTTATAGCTGTTATTTCCTGTGCAAGGTGAAGAGACACCTATAATTAATTAATATACTCGGATTTTATCCTTTATGCCTCATCAGTATAAGGTTTCTACCTTGATTACTAGTTTCTGAAATTGACCTGAGACTTACTTTTAGCATTTTAAATACTATTGACAACATTCCTAAATATACAATTTACACACACCATTATGATCGGAAACTTATTCTGATAAGTTCCTATACTGTACAAATAATAATGCTATCCACACGTATTTATTATTTTAAATAACTAAAGAATGAGTGTACCTACTATTCGTTTTTACCTACTACTATGCAGACCTTATGTCTTGTTTGCTAAAAATAAAAATATTATGAATTTTAATGTTGAATTAACCTTGTTTGGAATGCCTGCTAATTAATTACCGAAATACCTTTCCTATCACTAAAAGCTGTTTAATTTGTTTTGTTTTTATTACTACTATATCTATTACATTATACATATTTAAATTCTTCATTTAATGTGTAACTCTAGGTTACTATAATTTACTTAATTAAAAAAAAGTTGTTGAAATCCTTATTCACATCACACAATGTTAATAAAATGAGTATGACTATAATTACTAATACCTTGGAGTAGTAGCTAAATTCCCTTTTTGTGATGATTCTAATATTGATTCTAACAAGCCAAAGGTGTAGGTTTAGAATTTCCAACAGGAAAAGAAAATGTGTGAATTTATTATTGCAATTGTACAGGTAACCTATAGGAATAGAATGTGTATACAACAAATTGGATGCTTTTGCACATATCTAAGTAGCCATTCAAATGTGTACTGTATATATTTGCCTTAATTTTTGGTGGATTTTGTAATGAACTTTTAAGGTTATAATATTATTTGAGTCTTTCGTTAATAGTGTGACATAGACTAATTGATGGTTTTATTTTTGAATCTTACAGAATCTATCATTAGACGAAGCCGTTAAAGAACACTTGAATGGCAATGATAAGTGTAACATGGACAGTTTGGGCTTTGGATTCAATGTTGGCATTGAACCTGATAAAGTCAAGGATACTGGTCTCATACAAGACTTCGAAAGAATACAAAAAGACACAACTGACTTCTGTAACATACAGGTATGTGTTGTTTTCTCTATTATGTTATGGTAGGATTACAGACCACTGAGTAGTAGTACAATTTAAATTTACTTTTAGATTGAAAAGTCAAATTTATATAATCTTATTCTTAATTATTATATGATACAAAATCATTTGAAATTATTATATTCTTATTGTAATCCACTGCTTACTCATCTTGGTCTATATTCATTAACATTTTAATAGTCCAGTGTACCATATGTGGAACATGGTTTTGCCGAGTTTGTGTGCCCTATGAGCCATACACTGTTACTCTATGGGCCCTTGGACCATAAACTTGTCAAATTAATTATTAGTTTTCTATGTAGATTTGCAGCCAAGGATCTTTTCAGGGTTCCGTACCCAAGAATCTTTTCAGGGTTCTGTTACCCAAACGGTAAAACGGGACCCTATAACTAAGACTCCGTTGCCTGTCTGTCTGTCTGTCACCAGGCTGTATCTCATGAACCGCGATAGTAAGACATTTGAAAATGTCACAGATGATTTATTTCTGTTGCCGCTATAACAAAAAATACTAAACACAGAATAAAATAAATATTTAAGTATGGCTCCCATACAACAGACATGATTTTTTTGACGTTTTTTATAGATAATGGCACGGAACCCTTCGTGCGCGAGTCCGACTCGCACGGCTGGCTTTTTATTTTAGTTGTCTGTTTTTTGTCCTGCAACCTGTCTCTACGACATTCAGCTCGATTTTAGGAGATGAGTGACGGGCGTGTATGGCGTAGTATATTATGTACCATGGTGCTCTGGTTGTGGAGTTTTTGACTGAGACTGCTGCAGGTTTTCTATGTTTGCTGAGGATGCTGTTCTGAAGATGCTTTAAAATCCTATTGTAGAGAAGAAAGCTATTTTCTTGATTAAGTTGCGACTTTCGACCCATTAGTTGAAAGTTGTAGATCTTTTATTCCTTCAGTTTTTATTTTTGTTTGAATATGTTTTCTCCACGTCAGTCAGCCAAGGATTTAATAAATAGAATAAGTTATTTACATGTACGTGTCTGTTTGTTATATCTCAATTAATTTTATCGCGGAATATATTTAAAAGACGACTTGCATATCATAATTAGATCCTAAAATTTTTATTGGAAATTGATAATTTTTGGTGATAGCAGTGATTTTTGGTGTTGATCATGAAAGCACATGGCAATCAATATTACTACTTATCTGTTTGTATGATAATAAATCCCCGAACTTCAATAATTCCCTAAATCCAAATGGAGGCAACTAATATTTTCTATTTACAGGTGTTCCAGACACATCAAGAAACAAATCCTTTTGCTATTGAAGCCAATGATGAACTTTTTGAAAGATTGAAAAATAAAGAAAGAGATCCAATGAGTATGAGTTTTTATCAAGAGAAAGATGACGATACTTGTGAAAGAATTGTCAAAAATGAATCTAGTGTCGATCTTAATGCTGTTCAGCTACTGCCTGACAGTGATGATGAAGAGATACAAGCAAACGGTGTTCACGATGATGACAAGGAAAACATCAGTCCAGAGCAGCATAGAGATTTGTTTGAAACAGACATAGATATCCATGAACCTAATAACGATATTATCAGATTTGACGACAGATCGAGTAGTCTCGTGCAAAATATTGATAACTTTGATCAGGGTGATAACTTTGTAGATTATAATGTTACTAGTAGTTCCAATAATATTGAAAGCTATTCAAATGTTGAATTTGAATCCAATATTACCCAAGAAACAGTATTGCAGACTGATACCCCTGAATCTCACAAACTCTTATTTGAACAAATACCTGAAATACCTGATGGTAAGAGCTCAGAATTAGGATTTGCCAATGATGAAATTCAAGACCCATCAGAGAGCGAGAAGGAAGTTCGACCTTTTACACCTCCAGATGAAACCTCACAAGACATTGAAATGGAAAGTAAAGTAGACGACTCACCATGTATTGAGACTGTACCCCAGCTTTGTATGGATCCGAGTAATGATGATGATGAAGCAATAGAATCTCCTCAATTGATTGAATCAGATCAGGTAATGTCTCCACTGCCTCCTGCTGATGTTCAAGATGTTGATTTTGTTAATGAGCAAGCTTCATCTCCAGCACCAAGCACTGGTAAAGATACTGAACTTGAAGAGTCACCAGAATCAGCTGTCGATGAAAATATTGTACAGCAAAATTTCGATTCGCAAAATGAAAATGAAATTGATGTTGATCTAGTATGTGAGATTAATGTGAACGAATTTGAAGCAGTTCTTGAGACTCCTTCAATAAAACTTGATGTTGAACACGTAACAGAAGCAACAGAACCTGTTGATGACGTCGAAGATGAGCAAGTAGCAGAATCTCCTGTGCCAATAAAATCACCCCTTTTGCCGGAGGATAATGTGCCTGGCGAATCTCCATTACCGAAGGAATCACCACTACCTGTTGAGTCTCCTTTGCCAAATGAGTCACAACTACCAGTAGACGATTTATTGCTTCGGGATTCGCCATTGCCGGCTGAGTTGTCTTTACCTAGTGAATCCCCGCTACCCGAAGAGTCACCGCAACAGGCTGAGATCATACCAGAAGCTGCATCTCCTTTACACACAGATTTATCTATTCCTAGTGAAGGCCTTCCAACTGCAGATTCGATGCTACCTGTTCAAGAAGAAGTATGTGCAGAGGCTCTATTAGATAATGAGACATCAGTGCCGGCCGAGTCACCTGTACCTATTCAGGTCACATTATCACCTGCTCCAGAAGAGTCCCAGCAACTTCGTGACTCTCCGCTTCCGATTGAATCTCCAAAGCCGACAGAAGAATCGTTACCAAGACAATCGCCGTTGCCTACGGAATCACCCTTGCCAGATGCAACACTATCAAGACAGTCCCCAGTGCCCACAGAATCCCCTTTGCCTATCCAGCAGACACAGTTGCCGGTGTCTGCAGAATCCCTTTTGCCGGATGAGTCTCTGGTGCCCTCAGAATCACCTTTACCCATAGATACATCGCTTACGAGACAGTCTCCAATTCCGACAGAATCTCCAGAACCAACGGAACTTCAAGAGTCAGCGCTTACAGAAGACCAGACGTCGGAATCACCCATACCAACGGAACCTCAGATTTCAAAAGAATCATTACTACCAATCGCATTGCCGCTACCTGATCTAGCAGAACCGACTGAACAGCAACACGACGTTCATACACCTGTACCGGAAGTATGTCCAGAACCACAGTTAACTTCACCCACACCTGCTGACGTTGCCGCACCTAGCGACAGTCCCGCACCACCTGCCGTTTCACCTTTACCTGTTGATGTACCACTGCCCGGAGAATCGCCTTTACCTGCAGATGAACCTGCAGTACCAGAACCTGCTCCCCAAACAGAACTCACTGATCCTGAACTGATTGCGATACGTTCCCCCACACCAACAGAACGACCGTCCGCCGCCACTCCTGAATGCGCTTCGCTGTCAACGGAAATCGAGGCTCGACTTACGCCCGACGTGTCCGCCGATCGAGTATCATCACCCACGGTCGCGGTCGCACCTGCACCTGACCTCCTACCCGACGAGCCCGTTCAGCAGTCCCGCATGGAGCTCGTGACTGACGTCGATATCGGTATTCCGGAATCGCGGGCACAGGAAATCTGTGTGCCGGTCACCAATGAGATTCAACTCGAAGAAGTCGTGCAACCGCCGGTCGCGACCACTCCACCTCCGACTCCCGCGGTAGAGCCAGCCGTGCTCGCCCCCGAAGCCGCAGCGCTCAACGAAACGCCCATCGCGGCCGATGCGTCTCAGGGTGTCGACCTCGCAAGCGCGGCAGCGATAGCGGCTGGCGTGGCAGCCGTCGGTGCAGCGGCGGGAGCGGCAACCGTCGCAGCCAAGGCTAAGCTCACGACCGCTACCAAAAAGTCACCGACGACCCCGATCGGGAAGACGGAGGTGAGGACACCGAAATCTGTTCCTAAAACGACAACATCTGCGCGCACTCCCACCGCCGCCGCGGCTAAGAAACCCGCGTCCGCGGCGACCACACCTCGCACGCCTACCGCCGCTAAGGCGTCCACGCCCGCAAGTAAAGCTTCCTCGGCGACCACGCGAACGACGCCGGCCGCTCGCACACCTACCGCCTCGAAACCGTCGATTCCGGCCGCGAAGACCTCTACGTCCGCCTCCAAAACGACCGCAACGACGAAACCGGCGGCACCGGCGCGCGCTCCCTCGAACGCTCGTCCTCAACCGGCGAAGCCCAACGGCGTCGCCGCGAGACCAGTCCGCGAGGCTCCAGTCGCGGCGCGCTCCGCACCGGCCAGCGCTCGCGCGGCTCCAGCGGCACGCGCGGCTCCCAAGCCGAGCGCTCCCGCAGCTCGGCCCTCGGCCCTCAAGAGCGATGTAGCGCCGAAGCCCTTGGCCGCGCGCCCCGCCCCGCGGCCTGCGCCCGCCGCGGCTCGGCCCCAGCCGAAGCCAGCGGAGCGGAAGCCTTTGCCCAACGGCGACGCTAAGGACGCGAAGGCACCTTCGAGGTTGGCGCCCAAATCCGCGCCTGCGTCCCGCCCCGCCCCGCGGCCCACGCCCCGCGCGCCCGCCCCGGTCTCGGCCGCTACGAAGTGAGTTCTTTAGTATTAAAAACTTTTGTCCTGTGGTAGCTGGAATTTTACCACCGTGCTACAAAAATATTAATAAGAGAACTAAGTTTAAATCATAATATACACATACACTATTTTACACTATTAACTAACTACCTACTATAATATTACTCATTAATATACAGTATTAGTGATTTAAACCCAATTCGTTCTTAAGTCTTATAGTAATAAAACATAAGATAATTCCTATGAGTGTCAACAAAGAGTGTTTTCTTGCCATTAATGCAAGAAGTAAGAACTTATACCGGAATTTAAATGTCATGTTTGTAGTAATTAAGAACAGAGACCATTCCCCCTTTGTTTATACAAGTCTATTTTTAAATAGTTTCTAGGTAGTCAAAATCTCCTTTAATTGCCTCTTTTTATTATGGTACTTAGTTTTATCAAAAGAAATAGCCATTTCATAGATATGATTATAACCCATAGGCCGAGCGCCCCAAAGCCATTGCCCCGAGCAGCGCCCCTGGACAAACAAAGTAAAGACCTCGCCAACAAACGTATCACAGCCAAGGCCGCCCCGCCCAGGACTGCCCCCTCCAAGGTATGTTATTTCATTGAAATCTTTATCACATTGAACTTCATATTGATTATTTTGATAAAGTACATTCTTGCTTCAAAACTAAAAAAGTTTGCATTGATTGAGCTCAAATTTTGACACAATATACAACCTGCTTCAGAGATGATTTGATGATGTTTATCTATTTTTTGCAACCACAATGCCACAGCGAATACAGGTACTTTATTTTTATAATTAAATTAATATTATAATAATCATAAAGCTTTTTCCCGAAATATTTACATATTACATAGTGTCTTAGTAAAATTGTTAAGAGAAAAACTATATAAAGAAAAAAGAGTTAAAAGGAAAGTAAATCATTTTATAAACTAAAACTACAAAATATATTTTAGTTCGGTTTGCCTTACGGCAAAGGCCTCCTCCAACTCTCCAATTGTTTTTTGTTTGCCGCTACTCTCATTCAAAGTGGTCCTAAGGTAAATCAATAAGATGGGCGGATGCCATCTTATTGATTTACGTTTAATTTAAAATGCGTTTAGAGGTTTAGGCGTAAAAGCGTAACAAACAAACTCGCATACAAACACATTTATTAAAATATATAAGAATGGATTACACGCATTACGCACGACGTCACACAATATATCATTAACGTCCAATCAATTTATGTTGATAAAACAATCGAATGGGGGACCACATGACAGCTTTTTTAACCGACTGCCAAGGAAGGGTCATGTTTTTCTTATAAAACTATCTATAATTGATTAAAACTCTACGTGACTGGAGCTCGGTCCGCCTTTAACTAACACGTTACGACTTGTATGTCAGCATTAAAATCAGCATCGATTGTTGCGATAAAAACTGCTGACTATCCGTGGATGCTGATACTGATATTCACACAACAAACCACTCTAGTCTGTGGTTATGAATAGTTGTGTTTAGTTATATTTTTAATAAACACAATAAATAGCAATAATATATGGAAATTCAAGTTCAAATTAACTAGAAGTCTTTTGTATACAAAATCATGTAATGTAACTAAATATTTGTGTGTGTAGACCAAGAGTTGGACATACTTTACAGTCATTAATATTAATAGGTAAACTCTTATTATTCCATTTATGTATTTATACATCTGGAAAGGAAAAATCAATTTTCCAAAAAGAATCAAATAATCTCTGTCAAGTTTATTAATTTGATTACTATTAGAATTGACTATTTTAGTAGTCTACTTACAGTCATTAAATTAACATACATGCGGCAACAACATCAGCAAACATATTAGGTACTTGATATACTAATGTAGTGTCGCATTGATCGCAGACGGCAGCCCTCAGCGTGAAGAAGGCCGTCCCCAAGAGGCCGCTGGAGGCCGTGAAGAAGGAGGGTGCGTTGAACGGACTGGCCAACGGCGACGCGGCGCTCAAGCCCCCGCCGAGCCCGCCGCCCGCCGACAACGCGCTGCTGCCCGACGTCATCGCGTAGGCGAACTCGACACGATTCCGATTCCTATTATTTCCGCTTGAATTTTGTGATTTTCTATAAGTGTATGATAGTTTTAACGTCGCTAGTGGCGGCGAGTCGTTAGGTGCGGGACGGAGCTCCCAGTTTTATATTATAGAGTCGCTTTTTATAGACGTGTACGTTGCCGGTTCGTTGTCGCGGAGTCGCGTGGGCGCGCGGCTGTTCGCAGGCTGAGTGCCTAGGCGTTTAGCGCTCAGCGCTCAGTGGCCTAGGCACTCAGCGCTCAGTGGACTAGGCACTCAATGCTCAGTCGCATGAGACGCGCGCGTCGCTTAGCCGCGGGCTCGTGCGCCTCCGGCTTTAAACGGTTATTATCCATTATAATGATTATAAGTCTGTTTTAGAATTTTATATTACCAACGAATGATTGATTAAATCTGGCTTTTAATTTATTTTCTTTGTATAACCGTATTATTTAAATAAAAATGTGAGGAAGGACTGACAAATTGTTTTATTTATGAATAAAAGAACAATGCCGTTTACAGTGAGATCGATATGAATATAATATACAACATGATTGAAATAAATAACATTGTGTACTTATTGCTAGCTGCATATAAAATTTACAATATTCGTGTAAACTTAAAATATGGTGTTACAAAGAAAACTGGAACATAGTATATTAAAGAAATAAATGTTTATCACCCTTTTATGTCTTTTCTTTCTAAGAGCTATATTTATATTATGTTAAATTTCAAAATGCGGAAAACGCAGATCTGTGTCTCGTAGATTTTCTGCGATCCATTGCTCTGCTTGTTGTGTCATCTCTTCGTCAAAGTAGTCTCGCCAACCACCAGCCTTACCTGAAAAAAACAAATTTAATGTTAACGATGTGACCTAACTCTTTAGGCGCGCCCACACAGAGTGAGAGCAGCCTCGCGTCTTGAATCTTTAATATAGATCGTTTTGAAATGCGAAAAAGATACTGCATTTTCCTGCCATTATGTCTTAACTCAATAATTAACGAAATATAATTAAAATACTTACAAATGTACATAACCCGAGCGAGTTCGGATGGCTATAAAAAGTGGCCGTGCAGTATCAAATAATGAAATTTTGCCGCTGGAGCAACGCACACCGTTTTTTTATTTTTTTACTTGTGGAAACCCCCTCAGGCTGTCACCCCACCGGGGTTTGACAATCAAGTAGGTAGTTTATTTTCTAATAAGTAGGCTTAAATAAATTATAAAACTTTTGTTGTAACTTCCTGAGGAGTTACGCATAAGCCAAGTGATACTGCTGATGCTAATTACTCATAACTCTTTATCGACTTACAATGAGCTGATAATCTTCAACCGTGTGTGAAAAGGGGCCCTGAGGATTTCATTACCTAAGGGCCCCGACATGGTTTATCCGGTCCTGGTTACGAAATAAATATTTAGTAGTACTAATTAATAATAAAAAATGAGTCCAAGTTAATAATTTAAATTGTATTGAAATACCATTGGCATATTCAAAACAGTCGTATTCATTAAAGTATATTTCAAGCGTTCAGTATTTTTTCATATACAGACGTTGGAGTATTTTTACACTGTATACTACTAAATTATTGTAACCTTTGTTAAATTTTAGGTAATTCTTTTCTATATATTTTTATTTCATATCTGTTAAATAAAAAAGTTTGAGACAAATTTGCCGCCGCCTATAATTGGACGTCCTAAGCTCCAGCCTACTCAGGCTGCTGGTAAATCCGCCCACAGAGTACAGTAATATTATTAGAGAAATCCGCCACTGGTTCACACCGAAAACTATGGACGGACGGGAGAGCGAGGAAGCGTTCCGTGTCCGTGTTAAATTTGGACGTGCTACTTGAAATTAAAAACTTTGTATCTACCTTTTCTAATAAAAGATTGTTCTCCCGTAATAAGAATGCCGAGTTCTTTCATTACATCGTAGTTCAGAGATTTGTTGTTCTTAAAGTTGTCGATGCTGAGGTGGTCGCAGAGGCGTTCTATTTGTTCGTCCGAGAACTCTTTGCCGAAAAACTTAATTACGCGCCGTAGTGTTGCTGGCAAGTCCTGTAAGTATAATAAATAGGTCTGATGATTTAAATTGATGTGTATGTGTATTAATTTTAAATGTATTTATTTAATTTGGAGATAAAGTAACAGTAAACTTATGTTCGGATTAAATCTGTTTCATTTTACACGTAAATGGTTCTACCATAGTTAACACTAATAAGCAGACAATTGAGACAGTTAATCAGCATGTAAATAAACGATGATTTCTAATTTGTAAACAGATATTGGTAAGCATGTTGTACCTTGGAAAGTTCTTCATAAAATAGGAACAACATATTGGGATGGTCTCTTTTCTCCCATGCTTCTTTTAGGTGCTCGAAGTAAGGTGTCCAGTGATCTACAACATATTTTCTAATATTAATCACAATAAATACAAACTTTACTTGTATCTTTTGTCCTATTGTGATTGACTTCACGACAAATCGAGAACAAAATGTAACTCACGGAGACTCTTTCCAAAGAAGTTCCAATAAGTTTTGAAATCCCCAACGTAGCCTTGGGTCCTGATTAGCCTGTTAAGATGGTAGAATGAGACCGCGACATCTCTGGGGTCTCGTGCCACGTAGATCATTTTAGCAGTGTCAAGTAACTTGGGCGGGAGGAGTGACAGTGGCATGTGCGACTTGATAAATCTTGGAGATGGGATATTGGCCAGTTGATCTGTTCCTGGCTGGACGACAAACTCTAAAAGTTTTAGTTTTTCTTCACTGTGACTGTTCTCTTCCATAAATTTCGATTTGTTTGATGGATGGACGCAAATAGAAAATCTGCAATGCAAACGTAGTTCACTCACTCAAGGGGTAAAGGCGCCTCACTATTACTATTATTTAATCTGTAGACGTGTTAAATAGTAGAACGGGGCAGTAAAGTTAATGAACTTTACTGTAATAGTGGAAAAGTACATATTTTATTAACAACAACGTTTAACTTTTAAAAGCAACAGATTTAACTTACTCTAAAAAGGGATAGCGTTCTGTGAGCGGTATAGCATTCGATTTTTCATAATCCAAATCATTGGCCACCATCCAAACCAATTCCTGAGTCCAAGTTGTACCTGCAACCGAAAAGTAGGTACAACAGAAAATTAATTAACTATATACAAAGTACTATAGTGTAAAGTATTTTTTTTCTAATAAGTATAATGGCGGAGTTCTTTGAACTAAGTACATAGAAATTGGACACTGTTTCTTTCTGCTGTCATCATCACATAAAGTATGCTAGACCGTGATGTGATCACGGTGATGGGGTGACAGAGTTGGGCAGAGTTGTCAAATTCTATCTACCAATTACACATGGATATTATAGCTACTTTTAAATCATAATCATATGATGAAATGATTGGATTTGGTCTCTGTAGCTTCACCTGTGATAAAGCACTACTTAGATTTGGTCATAGACAAAGATAAATGAAAACAAACCGACCTTTTTTTAGATTTAGGCCTTTCGTGAGTCTCGCGCTAGCGTAATAATAATAAGTCACTGTGATGTTATTTTTTTAGATACAAGTGCGATTACATGATTTATTACAGGTGAATGTGATTTTATTCCAACCCTAACATCGATACATTAGTCCCGTACTAATGACACTCCTACAAGAAAAAGAAGGACCACTATTCAAGCTTTCTAAGCTTCCTAAAGTTTCTAGATAAACTTTCTTCGTTTTCTCATTTTCTTTCGGAGGTCAGACGATATTTCATTTAGTTTTATATAAAATATTTTAGTTGAGTAGTACATTATAGATACTTATATATATTATATGTACTTAAGTATACAAATGAAAAATATACCTGAGCGTGGGTAACTGGTGACAAATACATCGGACTTTCTTATCGGCATGTTGTAGATATTAGCCGCTTCTTTTCGATATTTTTGTGGAAAGAAATAGCCTTTAGGGCCAACTCGGACGAAACCATTAAACTCGCCTGTAACATGAAACAAATAGTTACATGATGAACACAAAAGCAAAATAATAATAAACCTAATCACCTAAGCTTCTGTACTAAATGAAGGAACTAAAAATTGAGTCAGCGTTGGACCGTGACGACCGGATGGCGTAGTGGTTTGTGTATCGGACTGCTATTCCAAAGGTCAATTCCCGCTTAAGTCAAACATTTGTGTGCATGAACATATAATGATAGATTTAGTCTAGGTGTTTCTATGTATAATATTTGTTTTGAAAGTACTGGTATCGGTATGTATAATATGTATATATTCACAAAAAAAAACACATGTAAGTATGTATTTAGACCAAATAACTAGACTAAATGTAGTATGTATTTAACACATACATGTGTTTATATCAGTTGTCTAGTACCCATAGTACAAGCTCTACTTAGATTGGGACTAGGTGGCGTTGTGTGAATGTGGTAGAATATTATTACTATTATTATTAATTTAACGACGACAGTGAGTAATCGTCTAACTTTCTTTTTAGTTAGTCGGAAGATAGTCTAGCCCGGTCTATCTTCAAATTAATTATCGGTTATAATATAAAAAAATCGTTCAATTCTATACAAAACACATACAAACATTTCGACTGCACGGATGGCGTAGTGGGTTAACGGTCACCTCGACGCTCGAGTGTTGTGGGCTCGATCCCCACATGGGACAACACTTTGTGCGATCCACAAATTATTGTTCTAAGTCAGGCTGTTATTTGTGTCAATTTCGTAAATTTATGTGAAGTTTTTGATATCGTAAAATAAAATTTGAACGACTATTTACGGGGCATAAAATCTAAATAGGTATCTAGTTGTTCATTTATTTATATTGATGTGCTGTGTTTACATATACATATATATCTAAGCGTCGGAGAGCACGTTAAAAAGTCGGTCCCGGTTGCCATGTAAACATTTGTGGCAATCGTTACAGTTAGTTGGAGCCCTAAAAAGTCCAACAACAGTCTGTCTATAGAACTTCGATATCGCCTAGTGCTTGGGTTGTGGAGGTCTCATGGCAATAGCTTACGTAAAAAATCGAAATTCAGCCGTGTCGTAGTGGCTTGAAAGCCGACCCCAACCTGGTTTAGGAAAAAAGCTCTGAGGATGAATACATATATATTTTAAATATTATAATGAAGCCGTGTAATAGACAATATTGAAAAATAGTAACGATAACATAACAATATCGAAAGACCTTGATATATAACAACAATCGCCCTTAAAGGGGTATACTCGTACCTAACGGAAGAGAAATTAATTTAACTGGCCTTGCAGATTGTTTCCGCAATTATACAATTAAAACAAGCTTTAATAAATGATAAAATTATAATAAATAATATTTATTTCTGTAAGGAAATCTTCTCAAATATTTTTACAAGTCGGACTTCACAGCTAGGAGGCGCCGGCATTTCCTAAGACTCACTCTGGAAAGAAACGCCGAAGCAAACCACAGAGGTGTCTTTTTTAGTCCGCACACAATGATAAAAAAAATCTATGCAAGTATAGTAGAAGCTTTTGCCCCTAGCTTTATAAACTATTTACAGATCTTACTAATGTTAACTAATATCAACGACGGTGAGATCGTAAAGTCGCGTAAAAGCAATTTGCAAAACCGCGTAACAATATTTTCTAAATTTTAACAAGAGGAAGAAATAATTTATCATCTTGGTTCATAGGATACATATTTGGGACTTAACTTGTTTCTGATTCCTTTGCATTATATTTTAATGATTCATAAAGAATAATCTTTAATATACAGCTAATTATCTAGGGACTGCATTACTAAGTTTTTGTTTTATTGAGGAGGAAACCCTTCAGGATTCGATCTCTAAAGAAAAGTGTATACCATGTCAGTACTTTTGAAAAAAAAATTAAGATATGAAAAGATGGATAGCCTCAGGACCTCGTGACTGACGGTATTCAGGGCATTTGAAAAGTTAATCAAGACCATATTATTATTGTTTTAGTATTTATTTTTAGAACCCTATTATTTAATCTACTTTATTTGTGTTTTCCAGGTGACCAAGCCCTCCCTTATATCGCCGGTCATTTGAGAACAGCAGAGATATTTCGGGACCAAAGTCAGATTGCAAGGACTTGGGAGTTTTTTTTTCGGTTTCGACCTACCAGGCTTGTAAATACAAGGCTTGAACACTTTAGAGAAAGAAGTGAGGCAGAGTGAAGAATTATTTATCTCTTTAGATAAATAATATGTAGCTGCCAAAATAGACTTAAATAAAAAAAATGAAATCTTTGAATAAAATGAAATACTCTTTGCGGTATTGTATATGCTTATACGAGTAATCATTAACGAAATTAATGTCTTATTAAATAAATATTAGAAGCAAAGGACGGTCTTATCACTAAGATAACTTTCGAAGGATTTATTTTTTATTTTTATTTTTTTTATTGCTATCTTTTATTCGCTATTTGTTATTATATTTGGCTTAATGCAGAGGAAACGTTTGTATATTTCAACAAATGGTTCTAGGTTTCGATAATATTCTTGATTCAAAGGTTTAGGTTTAGGATCTTCTCAGTGCATTTAATATTTAATGGTAGGTATTTAGCTATAAAATAGGCTTTATAGATGAGTTATATTTACATTTGAAAAGTCATGTAAGACTATTTATCTTATCTTATATAGAAAGAAAGCAGGTCAGAAAACCTGGATGAATGGATTGCTATCAAGATCTCTTAATACCTGTTTGTCTAACCGAGGGGCCAACCTCCGATAAAAGTAAGTATAACATCCTTATCACATCTGTTATTTTATTAGAACTATTAACGCATATAACTGAAACAATAACAACTTGAAACATGCATCGTATAAAAATAATCATTACTTTCTTATTGAAATTTCGTGCGGTTGGGTGCATCAGATATTATGAAAGCGAGATAAAACAAACCCAAACCATAGGACCTATTTGGTCATTACCGAATACTGATTATCACACAAAATACACAACAGTAGCCTATTACAACAAATCAAAAAAATACCTTTTACGGCAGACTATTGAGATGATAAGGCAATATGTGTAATTAAACGGACACAGAGTGAGAACATAATTATTGTACGTACGTGAAGGTGTTAAACAAACATATTTATTTGTTCATAGGTAAAAAATTCGTAAGTCAACGTGTCAAACCATTATGTAAACTCTATGCAATCCCATGTTTTTGAAAGAACTAGGTATCTCATGATAGAATACCATTTTAGGAAACGAAAAAGAGTGTCAAAATGAATATAACATACCGAGTGACACTCGTGAATAAAGGCGAATCTAAAGACATAACATTCATCAAAATTAGTTTAGCAGTTTAGTAGTTACGAGGAGATGTAAGGACGGAAATGGACGTACAATACATAAATACAGGTACCCTTCTTTTTTGGGTCGGGTAATAAGATTTTTAATTTTTAGATTAATCCTTTTCTTGTTGTAGGGGCACTCACAGCACTAATAGTACTTATACTTAGTTTTTTTTTTTAATTTTAAGTAAATGTACACAACACTTTCATAAAAATCCGTTCAGCCACAGATAGTTTAATTTTTATTACTTTAATTGAGTTTTTCTTCAGGCAGTTACCATCGCGGCCATGACCCATGTTTATTAATATACAGATGAAATAAGGGGCGTCAATTAGCAAATCTATTTATTAATATGAGTATGTTAAGAGAATATTTGCACTTATTTTTAAACAAATTTTGGTAATGGATGATAAAAATAAAATTTGGAATAGTCAATATAAAGAAGCGCAATCCACGTTTTTCTTTAGCTACACATGTTCAGTATACATCACATCAACAGCCTTTAATAGTCCACTGCTGGACATAGGCCTCTCCTTAGAAAGAAGATTAAACCTTCTTTCTAAATATGCTTTACTTAATCTAAATTCAAGTCTTTTGTCTTTCTTAAGGCATAGGAGCAAAAGAGCAGATGGGGTTCCCTTCTAGGGTATACCTGGTTCCCCGGCTTGGTACCTGGACACGGCGTGCGGGTTTGGTCTGTTCGAGTCCGACATAATCACCCACTGGTGGGTGGTATCCGAGGGTTCGAGGGTTCGAGGTTCTGCACAGGAAAAAAAGGGGGCAAGAGAGCAAACGGGTCAGTGATGTTAAGTGTCTACTACCGCCCATGGACACCTGCCACTCAAGAGTCACAAGTTGATTGCCGCCTTTTTAACCTCCCCCCTCCTCCTGCTAGAATCAAAAGGAGTAGAGGTTTCGGCTCAGCTAACCTAACTCACTCGGTGAAAAGGAATGAGAGAATTGCTGAAGAAATTAACATTGGGTTTTCGTGTCGCCGTGGTACCTATTAGGTACTATGGTCGAGTCGACCCATTTGTGCTGAAGTATGGCTAAAAATCATCTAATGAATCATTTTGTATCTATCGTATCATGGACGGGATTGGGAGAGGGCCGATCCCGAGCGAAGAAGGCCCGAAGAAGCGAAGAAGGAAGAAGTTTTGTAGTATCGTAAATATATATCGTACAGAGATACTTACATTAATGTAACTTGCTGCCAAACTACGATACTGTAAGATCTACAAAAAGATATTGGATTACACTTACCATTTCAATTCGTGACAAATTAATCTTATAGATAGATAATACTTTATTTGTACACCAGGGTTTTACAGATATTATTAAGTAATCAAACGAACAACACATGTATTGTGCAAAGGGCGGCCTTATCGCATTCATTTTGAACTGGTGATAGGTAAACGGAAATTAGAGTAATAAATAAGGTCTTAACCCATTAAATATTTATCATACATAAATCCTACTAATGTATATTTATACATTAATTCTATACATACTATACATACACTAAATTTCAGTTATGGGAGACAGACAATGCTCATAGAGCTTAGTTTTGAAGGAGGTTACGGATTGCGCACGTATGATAGAAATCGACAAGGCATTCCATAAACATACAGCTTCTGTCAATACAACAATCAATTGAACCTGGATATATGT